AATATAAATATACTCTGTCAATTCCAGTCACTGATAAGGATCAATATTGGTTATGAATTCATGTATTTGTAAAGCTAGTTGCTACATGATTTTTTATTTAGAAACAATGACATTATATAGGTGTATCGTATAATCAGTACCTGTGATGGTGATAGGTTTCATCTTTTAGCGAAACAGGTTGTTCTACCACTTCCTTTGACAGTGCCTCTCAAGATACTACAGCGTTTTTTTGTGTGGTTACTTTACAAGACCTAAGATACTGCCGAGTTTATAGGTACTGGAAACTGCAAGGAAAAAAGAACCTTCAAAGATACTAAGTGAAATTACTGTTATACAAAACTGTTCAGTACCTGAATGTACGACCAAACATAACAATCATAATATAAATCATACGGGACCTTGTGTACTTTCGACACACTGATCAGAAAAAAACTACTGCACACGATTATTACAAAGAGGATACAGCGGGACTACGTTACAATTTTTAAATCTTTCGTTGTCACTATAACAGTTGTTATATCAACATGTTTTTAACCGCATACCTTTTATGTGCACGCATCACCAAAAACGTACTCATTAAAAACCTGTTTAATTATAACTAAAGTCATACGGTACATTGTCAATTGTGTGTATTCATACACTAAAGCTTCTTGTACCCATGTGACTCTAACAATAGTATAAAGCGGTCAACAGTCTTTGACTCTACTTACTACTCGTAGTACACAAGGTCTATAATGAATTTGAATTTTCTTTATAACGCATCTATTATGCTTTTGGTTGCTCTATGTATTTCTCTTTGCGTACATTTTTTTTTATTGTATTGAATATTTATATGTAGTGTCCTGTAATTACTGGAATATTCAATGAGGTGGCAGTTTTAACTGTGCTCCCAATGGTGGCATACAGTAATTAAAAAAATAGTGGACACCCGCAATATTATTATTTCAGACTTTAAAGCAACATTCCAAATAGTTATTTCGGATCGATATTATAAAAACTTCTCATAAAATAACACCCATTAAGTAGTCTAGTCTAATTAAAATAGTGTTACGCTTTTCTTGTATTGAATTGTAATCTTATGACTTTTGGAAATACATAAGTGGCAGTGTCATTAATAAAGCTGATTTAAAACTCTAGGGCCTAACAACTATGATCACGGGCACTGTTTAAAATTTCCATTTTAATTCCAAGCAGAAAATTTGACAACTACAGGTAGGGTTCATTTTCGAACATAAATTCAGTTTAGGAATCAATTTAAATTCGAATGTGAACCTTATGGAACAATCAACTCCAAAATGATACGAGTGGTCAAACTAAGCAACACTATAAATGTAAATGAACCACACTACATCAATCATTACTGGTGATCATGAAAAGCACGCGCCTTATATTAATTTATATAAGGTTTATTTTTATCCATTGGCAATTTCTTCGCTGAGATCACTTAGTAATCATCCGTGACACGAAATTAATTAGATGACACATATATTCCTAATAAAATACAAACACATAAATGACGACATAAATAATAAGACGAATAGCGGCTCTTCAAGAGATTAGGCAAGAGTTATCAGTAAACACCGACTAATCATAAGGAACTTAGAAAGTAACAAGTATAGGCATTTCTTTAGAAGTTTACTATCCTCTGCACAGGTCATCTATTTCTAGAATAAAACTATGCATTTAGGCGCCTAATGTTTTAAAACGGGTTACAAAATGTATATATAATCTTAGACTGATAGTTTCAAAACCAATGTGTATCGATCAGTTAAAGTGATATGCGACGATGCTCGCGATGGGTGTTTTGTTGAACATTGTCGTAGTTTGTCGATTCAACTGTGATACAACTACTGTAAAGTATGCGGGCATTCAAAACATACAGTGGACGCCCAGAAGTTGCAACACCTATTACCACACGTACAGAAAATATACTCCAATATACTCCAAACCAATCATAGAAACATTGAAATGTGAATAGAACCTTTAAAAAAAAAAGAGTATAGTTTACTCCCATAAGACAACTTATAAAGTAATATTGTTGCAATTAGGGATGCCGCAGACGTCTGCATGTACATCCGCATATTTAAATATGCGGATAATCCGCGGTTGTTTTTGGAGATTATTTTTAGGTAGCGATAAGAATACTCAGTGTTGTTTACTAGTGTTTTAATTAGCCCATCAAGGATCGAGAATTGGGCATGTAATGCTGGCAACGACCTGTTTATTTTCGAAACAAAAATGATTGAGTTTACATTGACTTACGAACTTTTTCATTCAATGTAGCCCAGGTCTATTCGCATGAAGGACGACTCACGATATCCTTAAACACTTTAAGTACTAGTAAATGTCATAATATTCTATTTCATCTTTAATCTCTTTTGTAAAATTATGTAAAATTACTTAAATTAATGATAATTCAATAAACACCAAATTCACAATGATCCATGATCACATGACATTTATTAAAAAAAACTATATGTTTTTCACACATCTGCATCTGCAAATTTCAACGATGAAAAATTCGCATTCACGTCCACATCTGCATATGTCGTCATAACCCACATTAGCGGCATCCCTGATTACAATGTCTGTGTACACAAATAACAACTTTTGCTATTATAGAGAAAAAATCTGTCGATTCGTACGACACAATCCTGCTTCTAATGTCATTTGTTAAAATTAACTTAGTGTACATATTTTTTAAATCTGTAATAATTAAAACATTATAATGGAGAATAGGCGACGAAATTAACAAATTTGACGATCCAGCATGAATTCGAGTAAGGAGCTTCTGAAAATCATGCATAGATGACGCCTCTTTCTAACATTAGCAAAAGATGCTAAAAAAAGTAAACGAGGTCAGTACATAAGTACGAAAAAATTCAAATCAAATATTAGCCAATTGTTAGTTGCATATAACACATGTTTTATCACAAACGTTGCCGTTTCGTTCCCCTAACCGTACTTAACGTGATGCAGTCAAAGTCACACATATAACTCGTTATATCATTAAAGAGTTCTAAATTGGGTCCAATTTACTTGTGTACTACCTACTAACCGGTTTTTGAAGACTATAATTGTACTGTAGAAGAAATTAACTCCCGCAAACGACAAATTCAACAACCGAATATATCAATGATCCTTTTTATCTATATCTGGCTTCAAAAAAAGATGAAGGTTCTCAATTCGACTGTATGTTTTTTTATATATATATTGCGCGATAACTCCGGCTTTGTGAACGGATTTGTGAACCTCAGTATAGGTCCCATTTAAATATGAAGAAAATATTCCACCTCTAAGGGCGGCAAACTAAGGGATGAATCCGGTTTTTTAGTACTCTTTACTGAGATTATTTGTATACAAGATCATTTTAGTATATATCATTGGATTCCACACTAAACAAATAATATCTAAATAGAATTATCGTAGAGAACAAAACTTCTTCGTAATATTCTCAAAGGCTGGTATAAAAGGAACTTACTTCCATAGCCGATTGTACACAATAAATTAGGACCCTGCATTATGCCTACCTAAAATTGACAACTACAATACTGTGCATAAATGTTTAATTTGGTACTTTGTCGTACTATGCGAAAACATCTTTCATCCAAAACACATTTTACTGTATATACCATAATCCGACGTAGCAATACAGATAACTGTATACATAAGTATTAATTAGTTCATAATTATAAATAAAGACAGAATTAATAATACAAATTACAAATTTACTAAAAAAAAACAAATTATAATACAAGTACATACAAACGAAACGAAATAATACTAAAACGCATTGTCATTCGTTTTTTTTAATTAGATGAAAATGTACAGATGGTCACACGTTGTTATAAAATCTGATAAAATTTACGATTTAATAATTTTAAACCAAGAACACTCGGAAATTAAAAAACACAGTATACTCTACTGCGTGACCCACTGTACAATATTTATACACACAATATTTTTATTTTTATTTTAAATGTGCTTTATCTAGGGCTAATATTTTTTTATTGATTAACATGGCATCGTCTTTAAATATCGTTTAAATACAATTTTACTATAACTAAGTGGCTAATCTTATATCTAGAGTAACAATTCAAGGCCCTTCCGAAAAGACTTACGAGAAAAGCCATTACCAACTGGCCAAATAAAAATAGTTAATCGCAGTCAATCGTTTCGAGGGTGCTGTAATGAAATTTCTCAAATTATGCCTCTAGTGTGGAGGTATAATTTGAGAAGTTTCATTACACAATTCTCCAATAAGGTTTATAAAACACTGCTACGAATGTTGACATGGTAAATATCGTTCATCACCGACATGCATTTTAAAGGAAATCTTTAACTGAGAATTGTTGTTCTCTATCGTTTGTGCTAACAAGCGCCTCATCGGTTATTCTTAGCTTGTCGCGATTATCGTTGAAACCAACTGGCACCCAGTTAATTCTTTCACAACGTCATTGAAAGCATGTATATTTATTATGAACAATAACATTAAAATAGTAGTTTATACGACTGTTATATAATGAAAGGCACCAAAGCACGAGCGAAGGTTTATGAAACGAGCCGACAGGCGAGTTTCATAAAAATATCACACGAGTATTTTAATGCCTAATTATGTACAGTTACATACACTGCTTTATCTACACAAATATTATAAGCTCTCTGTGATGTGTTCAGGAACTGCATGCTACGCTGGCGAAATGGCGGCAAATAAAAACTTTTCTCACGCATATCACACAACCCTTAGAGGATGGAACAGAACCGTAGTTCTTATTTTTGATTCATAGACAAACTAGAATCGGCTCCAACTATCATATCGTTCGATATATCATATATCGTGTGCAATCATTGCGCAATAGTCAAAATTGTTTGCTATTGACATTTCATTTAGATAAAACATCATCTCGACTGATATTAGAAGTGAGGTCCAATCGAATTGTTTTGTTTTTCGGAGATGTTCGAAATTTGAATGTAATAATAACATCGAATTCGATGTTAGTATGAAGCAATAATAACATTTTCACAGATAAGAAATTTGTTCTAACAAAACAGTTTACCTCTATGCTGGTCCTAATTTGCGGTTTTTGAACACATTATATAGAGTTTATGATGTGTGTAGATAAAGAAATTTACAGATCGTTTGGGGAGAAAACAATTGTCATTTATATGTTCTTTATAAACAATTATACGCATAATGGAAATTAGATATAACTTAGATGTGGGACCACCTTTACAAGTACAAATTAAATAGCTACACATGATAGCTACTTGTACAGTCAGCACATGTAACTGAATAACTACAGATGGTGTACATGTGGTGATTTGAAGTACATAAATAGATTTGATTATAATCTTTATTTATTTATAGTAGTAATAATTCAGTGAATTGTTCTAAAATTTAGAAAATAAATTATGTGAATTAAAATATTACTCCTTAATTAATGTTATTTAACGACAGTATTGAAGGAAAACCCGATCAAAGAAACCTGCTCTATTGCGTACCATTTACAGTTACAGCCAGGTCAAAAATACGTAATATTTTAATAATATCAGTATTATTTAAGGAAAGTTGATATGAACATCTCTAGGTGGTCAGCGACTTCTACAGTTAACTATACGACTATTGCGGGAATGTTGCAAAAATTGAGCAAACGTTAAAAGAATTCAAAAATCTATATCGTAAATCTTAAATACATAAATAGTACATAATATGTACAAACATATTATGTTAAAGATATGATACATAAGATATGTGAAAGCGAACAGCGCATTGTAAACACCGATATTAGCAAAAAAAACTTAATTGTACTTTATTATACAGAGGCGGTAAAAAGTGATGTAATTAATTGACTTTACATTACACAGAAAATCAACATAAACATTTAGATTCAAAACTACAATTCGCGCGGATTACAAACTCTACTATAACAAGTCCATATCATAAGTTAGTCTAACCACTACAACAGTTTCAAATGTATATAAGTAGATATATAACAAGTATAATTGTGGGCATAATAGATTTGCCTATAGAAGTGTTAGAGTCGAAAAATTCGAATATTAGTCCTATTAATTGAACATTCTACGCTTACCGTTAGTTTTAAAGCCAGGAAATTTGATTATATATTTTTTGCTTAGTATTTAGTTACAGCTACTCTTCAGAATCGAAATTGAACCAAGTCAGAAACATGTTCCTGTTATAATATTTACTAATGATGTCTAATTTTAAATGAGTTAACCTTAAATAAATTAATAGACGAGAATAAATCAGAGATTCTGAACTGGCCTTGACTGAATTATGAAAATGATCTTAACGATCCCGTAAACATTGTCAAAGAAACATAATACTTTAGAAGGTACGAACGTCATATATACGTTATTAGCCATGGAGTACACGTCATACAGGATGTTACAAAAAGGTCAAATAGTAAGTCCATATCAAAGCGCCCATGGCACTTTCGCCAGAATCAAAAATATTATGTATTGCGTATTTTAACTTCCCTTCATGTTATGTCACAGCAACGACAGATTTGAATGGAAAGGCAAAACAGTAATCCTAGAATAAAATTAATTTCTGACTTAAAGCTGTTCAGTATTATAGACATATTCATAACAACCTGTATGTTCACCGTTGTTCACAATATATGTATATTCTGCTTTATTTATGTCCATAGTCTCCAACTAACCACCGGAAATAGTGAGGCATATCTGTATTACAGGTTCCTTGGTGGATGTAACACGCACTGTTCCCTGAATATTGAACGCTTCTCATTAGAGAAATATACTTCTAGGAATAATAGTTCTCCCTTTGCTGATAAATAGGCAACTCTACGTCTGGGGAGCGGTCATCCAAGTCAGTACGCCCGCCTTGCACAGGCAGCTCTTCTAAGGCTTTAACTGTAAAATGAAAATAGGAATTAAATATCAGGTAAAACTTAATCTTAAATAAGCAAACAAAATGCAAAAAAAAACAAAACTACTCACAACAAAATGCACAAAACGAAACCATGCTGCAATACACTCGGTGGGCCCTTCGGACCGCCTTGGCCAATTTACTTACAAGACGTATTAAAGGAAAGGGACTTTCTTATTATGTAATCATTTGCAAGTTTCCCTATTGGGAACAGGCAATATTCGGAGGGAAACTAGTTTGAAACTAGCGCCATTAAAAACGGATTTTTCTCAACTAATGGACGTTTCTAGTAGTATGTTAGAGCTCGACTAGCTTAAGGAAGTGAGTGCAAGTGAGGAGAACGGTTGTAAGTGAAGGGCGGGTCAGTTGTTTGCGGTAGACGGGCCTTGGTCAATGTTGGTTCCTGCAGAAATGATACGACATCAAAGCATGTTGTTACTTGCGTGCCAGTTGACACACGGTGCCAGTTAGTCACTACAACAACTATCAGAATTACCAGTGTTATAATATTTTATTTTTATTGTATGTGCATTTTTAATCAAATCGCATAAGATTTAAAGAGAAATACTCGTATGGTTCAAAATTTTGTCACAAAATTTCGTCAAAATTACTTCCAGGTCATGGTATATTTAAAATCACTGGCATTTCTAAACTCTAACAATTACTTTAAAAAAACTAGCAAAATATACAAAACTCTAAAACAAACTAATACAACTTGAATACATGAAAAATGCTACTATGTTATGATAGGAGAGTAATCACACACACTTTTATAAAAAATTTCAAACAACAGCATCAGTACCACAACATCAAAAGCAATATCTAAGAGTCTGCATGGGAGTGCTAATATAATAAAGCTTGACTTTCAATTATCATCACTGAAATGACTACAACTGCATCTGTCATATAATACGAAAGGGTTCACTAAACAAACAAGTACATCATGATTCGTGTAACCTAAGAATTGACCTCCTTACTTGTCAGTTTGCAGCACGGCGGTTTTTCTAAACATATATTATACCTATAATACTGGGTTTTGTCTGCATGTTACTTACTAAACATATGTTATGTTTATAATATTAGGTCCTACTTTGTTAAGTCAATATTGATCACTCCAACTAAAATACTGGCAAACGTAATTCGAAAGTAATTCAGAACTGAGGTATCCGTCCATGCAGACTCAAAGCTTGTCTCTTACCAGCGATGATTTTGCTCATCTCGGTGACCTGTTTGGCGAGGATCTGGTTCATCTGGAGCAAGTGTTCTCGGTGCCGCTTCTCTTCGCCGTCCGGGCTCTAGCGTAACAAGCACACATGTAGGACTGCCCGTCTCGGCCATTCGAAGCTGATACGCTATCTATACAAGCTTTATTCACAAACTTTTACAGAAACAATCGTCGACTCGTAGATACTACGATTTGTTTGAAGTATTTTAATCAGTTCAAAATAAAATGGGAATTTACAAGATATCACTGGCTTTATACAATAGCGCTGTATTACAGAATACAACTTTTTTAACCGACTTCAAAAAAGAGGAGATTTTTTGTTTGTATGTTACGCGATAACTCACGATAACGCAGTATTTGTGAACTGATTTCTTTTTTTTGGAAAGAGGGTACCTCAGTATTGATCCCATTTAAATTTGAAAAATTATTCCACTTGTAAGGGTGGCAAACTAGGGAACGAATCCGGTTTCGCGCACTTTCCGGTAACCGATTCAATAAAATTTGACAAATAGGTGTAATTTCACGACTATTTGAGGTCTTTTTTTTATTTAAAAGTTTACAATTATGAATTAAGCACACGGCGAGAAGCAGAGCAAGCGCAGCTTATCGTGGATAAAGCAGTCTTTTGACCTTACAATTTTTTTACGAAAAAGATGGATGCTTGATTCGCGATAAAGTTTCGCTTAGTCTGCTCCTCGCTGTATACTTATTACAGTTGTAGTATTCAGCAATACTGCCTTATTATATACAGGCAGTGATATGTCGATATGTGAAGTCCATCTGGGTAAGTGTGGTGTACAACGGCTACGGTTTTCTTGAAGGAGTATATCAGTAGGATATTAATAAAGGAGTTGATTATATGTACACAAAAAAATTAACACTGAGGATTGTTTCTACAAAAAAAGTAAATCTAAAATTTTTGTCTTCGTCTTATAATCTAATTCTTTGAAGTATAGGTTTAAAGAACAAGGTCATGCAAAAGTTACATTCCAGACATTTAAAGCGACGCAAGATGCAAGAGATAAAAAAATATGGTGTATGATATAAAATGAAAAAAAAAAGTACACAGTAATTTTGTACTTATGTACACATGTCCAAATTCTATCTATAATACAACCAATGACAAGAACTTATCTAAACTAATGAGGAAGCTTTATAGAAATCACCTCAAAGTCAAACATAGTTTTTCAAATTCCTTAACTGTAGTTATCGTCAGTGTTTTTAATTTACAGAGTTTTTTTCTGTGTAATGACAATGACAGACATCTAGAACAGCACCAATATATCTGTCTACGACTAATGTGGTGTTTGCTACTCAACATTGAAGCCGAGCTGCATAGACACTAACGATACCATTGAAAGGAATTGAAGGAGTTAATTTACCTAAAGTGTGAACGTTTTCTTAGTACGGATATATTCATTTCGTGATATGACCAAAAAAATCTGGTATTCGTATTACAATACTAATGCGTAAAATAGTAGATTGTACAACAAGTGCATAGAACGCGTTATTTTACCCGAGACAAGTATATCCTATATGGATACTTAAGTCGACGGTAAAATGAGTTTTATGAACGAGTTATACACTCTGCTTTTCACTTCGATTGCGAGGAAATTAAACAGCAATATTACAAATAACCGGTAACGCAAATATTGCCAAGAAAAAATAAGAACTTTCCGCGAATGTACTACTTTTTTTCTACACGTGACTCAGGTCGGACTACATAATGCTCAGTTATATTTTACAAGCTTTTATTTTTTATGCATTTCAATTTCTTATAACTTATTCCAATTACTATTGCCTACTTTTTTAATTTTGCAATATAATACGGATTAAAAAAACAAAAGTAAAACTTTGTTTTATAGTTCTAGTGTGCGTGGCTGTTAGCGCAGGCGTCATTGCCTCAGTCTTAAACGACGATTTTATTTTATGCACTAGAGCATAAAATCCTATTTTATACAGCCTACACCCAGCATAAATACGAACTTTAAGAGCATGAGAAGTGAAAAATATTTTTTCTACTGTTTATTTTCTAAATATTCCAAAATGCAGGTTGTCTCATGTTTTAATTTTTTAAATGGATAAAGTATTTAAATACGTAAGAATCAAAAGAAAAATAACTACAATTACAACTTTAGTATCAGTAGAGCTCCTTGTGAAAGAGTTCGTCCAGGGAGATACTGCCACCTTACCTAATTCTGCCGCCAAGTAGTAATGTGAGCATTACTGCGTTCCGATTTAGATGGGTTCGGGTGCTGGTGAAATTACTGGCACGTGGGACTTGTCTACTTACGTCTCAGGGTGACAGTCGTAGTGGCAGTGCCCATAAGATGTTTGCGATTTAAAGCTCTGAGTGGCACTGCAACTGTTACGGATAGGCGTGTCGCTTACCACTAGGCGTACAGCTTGTTCGACAAATATAATCAGTTCTGAGAAAATTTGTAGATGGGAATGCCCACATCGTTCTATAGTTCAGTTAAATTAACTTCCTCAATTCCGATCACTGTAGACAGTTTAGTGGCTGTGTAGTTTCGATTGACACTGTCTCTCTCATATAAAAACTTAAAAACACTGTCGAGAGCTACAGATATTAAACGAAGTATACCAACTTTGAAAATCGAAACGTTAATCTCCGATTGAACAAAGTTTAATAAATTGTTATCTGTGGTAGTTACGTTTACTTTAGTGACCATGGCCACTTTATAAGACTTTTAATAATGCTATGATAAAGAGAAAAAGAGAAGTACTTGGAAATTAATAGAAATAAGTTTTGTAAAGCAACAGTTATGGACACCAAATGGAAATGAATTCGTATTTGATGGAATGAGGTGGCAATGATGGCGATACCCAAAAAGTCTGGTTTAGGGAACGGTGACGTCACTTGGTTACGGTTACCTTGCTAGGGTCCGCTGACGAGCTTGAGAGCATCTTCTTGATGGATTCCACCTTCTCCTGGCGCTTCTGTTGCTCTTCGGGTGACAATTCTGGAGGCTGTACATAGTATATTGCAAGTTATTGTACGCATTCTAGTGAAACAATAATAATAACGCACACACTCAACATAGCCCCGCACTAGGTGTGAAATGGTGTGAACGTCTGCCTTGCTGTTGTGTGGTTATTAGTTACGTCCCCGACACTGCTCGGAAATCGTTGATTGAGCTTACTATCAATATTTTTTTAATGTAGAGAAAATTTTATCACAAATATTATAATAAACTAGGTTAAAGAGGGATTGCAAAACATGGTGACCTGTATTTGCAAATATCAAGACTGAAGAGAGATGAACAAAAGAGCTGACCTTCTCCGGGATGTACCGCTCGGGAATAAGAATTTTCTGTGGTGCAGCTAGCAGCTGGTCAATGGAGTCCGCGTAGCGCGTGGTTGGTAACGCCGAGCGAACCACGTCCGGCGCAGGCGCAGCCCGCAGCGCGCGCTCCATGTCCGCATCATCAAGCGAACGGCCCATCTTCTACAAAATGGAAATTTGTGACCTTAGCAAAAGACGCACATTATTAAAGGCTGACATATCGACGCCTTGCTTTCTCAAGCTCGTATCTTATAAAAAGTGATTCAGATAGCAATTTTTTTTTTTTTTAATTTCTTATCAATATCTTATTCTTAAAGTAATGCATCCAAATCAACACGATTTGCATGCATTACTTTAAGAATAGGTAAAAGCCAGTGTGTGAATATGAAGGAAATGTGAAATCAGCCTGCAAAATTTGTATATACAATCAATATTTGCATTTCGATAACTTTGTTTTTTATGGTACAATTTCGAGAAAGTAAGATGACGATATTTGATTTAAATATTCGCCATACCAATACGAAATTTTAAAGGACTAATTTGTTTTAGTGACAAGATTTTCAGTTTAAATTCAAAACTTACGTCATGATTGTAAACATCTTTAGGCATTTCGCTGAGCGTCTTAGCGCTGAGATGGTGCGGAGCGGTATAGTGCCGCCTTTTCTCCTTGGGCACTTGTCGGCGATGCAACGACCCGTTCTTCGGCTCAGACATCTCCGTAATAATCTGCTTAGCAGCCTCACTCTTAAAGATCGGCGACAGTTCCATGGGGCAGCGCGTCAAGCTCATCACGCTACTTGTCTTTGATATTGGATCATTAGTCAGTGTCTTAGCACTGTCGCTAGGACTGCTCAAGTACTGATTAGACAAAGAAATGGTGCGATCGTAACCAGATCTAAGATCTGAGTTGTCGTAGCTCTTATGGTAGCTGCTGCTCATAGTGGATAGGTCACGGGAATAGTCGTAATTCGACAGGGATGGGCTTGACGGAAATTTGGGGCTGAGTTCTAAGTTTTTGTCCAGACGAAGGTAATTTGGTGGGTCGCGGTCAGATGGCCTGGAGTAATATTCTTTGAACTCGCTGAAATCTGTTCGGGGTAGTGACGAAGACCGTGCATAATTAGACGATTGTCCAAGCTCCTCTTCAAGAAATTGGTCAAGGTTAGTGGTAGTATTGTTCGACGACCAATCAGACATCGGTTGCAAGGAAAGGTTATTGGAAGGCCAATCTGACATTGGCTGGAGAGAACGTTCTCTGTCTCTCTGTCGTCGTTCGCTTTCGCGCTTGACAATGCGGACTGTCTTTATTTCTTGCTTCTCGACATTAGATAGATTTCCTGTGAAAACATAAAAAAAACACGATCACTTTTTTTATCAAATTATTTCTTTTCGTTTTATAATACCGTAATAATGCGTGGTGGTAAGCGGCACGCATGTCCATAACTGTTTTATTATGGTGATTCTTTAACCTTCTTACCGCCACTGACAAAAACTAGTGTCGTTCTCTAGACGCCAAGCCTATATAGTGATGTGACATGTCATGAATTTCCACCTTATATAAATTCAATTCTCGTAAGTCAAAGAAGAACATAACTGAACATAGAACGCAACTATTTAACCAAATTCAAATAACAGAAGAAATATCTTAACATTTATTTCCTAATTTCAACTGAAAATTTTCATTGACGTTTTGGCGTCACTGGTGTATCAGCCGAGTTATTGTAAGATGCTTCAAAACGTTCACAGCAGTCAAAGTCAAACCCTCTACGACTGCGTATGCTTAAAAAAACAAAGCAGTAGGCCGTTACTACTAGTTACACAATGTTTTACCAAAAGCACTATGCTGCATGTCCTCGCTGTTAAGTGGCGAAGTAACGTCATTGCTGCCGGCCCTCGTATCGACGTAAAGTGGCTCGACGGACTGGTAGTGTCCGGGTGGCAACACTTGACTTGCCAGCTCATACTCGTAGTGAGATTCGCCGTGGTCGATGGTCAGACCTGTGTCGAGGTTAGTTTCTTGCCACGATGACGTTAGCCGACGTTTACCTGCAATTGGTAAGCTTACGTCAAATATTTTCACCTTATTTGTCGAAATCATTTCGATATCTCCAATGAACACTACGCCAACTATATTTATCGGTCATTTTCTGTTATTTTTGTAAACAGCCATATTTATTTACTAATATTATGCTCGCCGAATTTTGTGGCAAAATAAATAAAAAACCAAAACAAAATAAAAACAGAGAAGTTCCAAAAATTTAGTTGGCGTAGTGTTTATTGGAGGTATCGATTTAAACATTTATATATATATATACTAATGAAGTTTTAATAATAATAATAAAACTAAGGAAGTCCACTAAGACTAAGTATTGAGAATACACAATTTTTGAATATATTGGTATAAGACAATTTGAAGCTTATTACGGATGGACGCGAGTTATTTTATTTTACCTGACTGAGAGTCGTGGGTGCTCTGCAATGTGTGCGATTGGTGTGTGAGATGTCGCACGGCACGACTCAACTCTTGCCGTTGCAGCTGCAGCGTTGTTACCAGCTGCTGGACTCTTGTCACTTCTGGGAATAACATGTCACATTCATTAACATGCTCATACTACGATAGTAAAGCGAACGGTAAAAATTAAGACAAAGAAAAATTAAAGACCCTTTACCACTTCCGTGCAATATGTAGTCTTAGGTGACTTTACTTTATTTCTCTGCATGCGTCAATAAGAACCACCATTACCACGATACTTAAAAAGCACACAATAATATAACATGCCATAAGGGGCAAAATATGAAAATTTGAATATTCTGCATGTTAAGGGTAATTGGAAACATGAAGTGTTTTATAGTCGGGGATATCGTAGTGGCCAAATCGAATCCGCGGTAATCTATTGTTATAGACAACATAAATTAATGCTTACTGTGCAAAAATGAAAGTAGTAGCCATATTAGCCATTAAGTACCTCAGTGGCCGAACGGTTACCATGCTGGACTGCCAAGCAGAGGTCCCGGGTTCGATTCCGGGGCCGGGAGAAATATTTGTACCGCCTACATTTATTTCTCTCGCGAGTTTGGGTGAATTTGTAGTTGTCTAGGTGTGTGTCCATAGCACTCGCGATACGTTTCTCTAGTGCGGGGCTATGAGTGTATGCGCGTTATTGAAATAACAAAGTAATAACGTTAAATCCATCTCCTGTAAAATTTGGCGTAGTGCAGATACGCCTTTTAACAATACCATACGAGAATACGCAGATTTGCATTAAAGTCAGTTAGTTTGCGATTATCCATTTGTTGACTCATAAATAAAAAACGTTGTCTCACCATCCTCTAAGAGGGCGGTAGGTTGCGCGGCGTGCGACATCTGCGGCGCAGCACGACGAGCCTGCAGGGCTCGACGCAACTGTTGCAGTTCACGTTCCAGTCGCGCGTTGTCCGCAACAGTCTGCTCCAGTTTCTGCCACATCACATTTACCCTTTACCATATGATGCCACAATAGGACCATGTCACACACCGTTGTTGTGTAACGCAATTTAGGTAGTGGGTGAGTTGGAAAAACGTTCGTTTCATATCTTTGAACGCGGGGCTTTACATTAATTGATATAAAATATAAATCGATTAATTATCAGATTCATAAGGACGTATTCGTACTTCAAAAAAGACCAGTTTTGCTTCTGGGAATAATACCAATTTTATTTCAGAACATCGCGTATATTGTGTATAATAGTGTCAAGATTATGTAGTTAGGATTCTTTGTCGTGTGATCAAGAATTGCCATTTACAACTTATATTCACACAAACCACAAAATTCTGGAGAGATACCCAGTGCACCCACTACACTATCATTTTAATAACTCAATTTAATAAAACAACGAAACAAAACCAAGCATCCTGTTTAAAGTCCAATACGAACTTAGTTACAAAATCGAGAAGTACCAGAGCATTAATGCTGCACTAAACTATTGTTCACTATAAAATGATAAAAAAAGATTGAGTGCTTATAAGATAAAGGGAAAAAATAAGTGCAGTATAGATGAAAACCTTATAAACCTTAGAATTGTGCGCCAACATGGCGTGCACTCGCGCAAGTTCGGCTTCGAGCCCTGCAGGGGCGGGCATGGGAGGCGGAGCTCCCATACCAACGTAGTCACCGCGGTTTACTGTATCCAGTTTGCCACGAACGCCTACAATCAAACAAATTCATCGATTTTAAACCTCAGAGAACAAAAGTCGCCATACGCTCGCAAACACGACAAAAAGACAAGTGTTAATGAACATTTTCCAAATTCCAAAAATAATTAAAATACCTACATTCGCATTTATGCGACAGAGATTGACATGTTGTTATTTCATAGACTTAATAACTAAAGGTTTATTAACTAGAGCTTTATTTATTGCAGAATACTAGTAATTCTAAATCTATATATTTCTAAACTATGGAACAAGAGAATTGTGGTACTGTAGCCTTCTTAGATATTTTAATTAAAAGAAATCCTAATAACACCTTAGGCCATACTGTATTTCGAAAGAAAACCCATACAGATAGGTATCTCAATGGTAATTCCCATCACCATCATAGCCAGTTAGCTACCGTGGGCAAATCTTTGTTTCAGAGAGCATATGGTGTCTGCGACAGTAATCATCTGGCAGGGGAACTTCAGCATATAAAGCAAGTCCTACATGCGAATAAGTTGAAGATTCCACAACAATGCCGCAGGCCGCGTGTGAAACCACCCACAGTCGAGCGAAGACCTGCCATCTTACATTACGTGAGAGGTGTTACAGGCAAGATCGGAAGAGTCCTCAGGCGTGCATCTATCAAGACCTATTTCAAGCCCCTGAGAAAGATTTCTCAGTTCCTGAGACCCGTGAAATGTAACATGCCCTTACAGGATGCAGGAGTTTACAAGCTTGACTGTGAGTGCGGTCTCTCTTATATTGGACAAACAAAGCGAAGTATTTGTACCCGCGTCAAAGAACATATAGCTGATGTCAAACACCGTCGCGTAAACAAGTCTGCAGTCTGCGAGCATGTCATGGATAAACCTACACATTCAATGAATTTTGACAAACCGCAGGTCCTTGCAAAAGAAGTCCGTTATCTTCCCAGGATGCTGCGAGAGGCCATTGAAATTAAAAAAACATCCTAATTTCAACAAGATGGTTTCTCCGTACCACCAGTTTGGGATCCAGTATTTCCTCTAATGAAAAATCCCAAACAGACATAAGACTGCAGTACTAATTAATATGTTTTAGTTTATTCTAATTTCTATTAATAATTAATAATTAATTAAACTTATTAAAAATTCATTCAATAAAATAATTTGTAAAACTTAATGTAGCGTAACTTGGAATGTTTTCTTTGTAAAATTAAAAATAAGGTATTTAATTAATAACTATTGTAACTTGTAGTGAAAAAATGGGGTGGTTTGCATTAATATTAGACATAACTGGTTGAAGACTGTACCACCTCAGTCAACCGTGACCATGGGACCTGTAAAGGGCCCGAAACGTCGGTTTGTTTCAAAAAACAAATATACGCGATTTAAATCCGGAAAAACAGTTTCATTTCCTATACATATTTCTAGTCTACACAAACAAGTCATGTCCAAGTAAACACCTTTCCGAAATCTGAAGAAATTGTAAGTGCTAAAACGACTGCGCGCCGGCTGTATTAGATGCAGTCGCGATGGAATTGCAGGCGGACTACATCCAAACCGTGTTCCAAAATACTATTTTGTAGGTGTCATTGCGGCACAGTTGGAACACATTTCGTATGATTACACTCTAACGTAAGGGTGGTTTCCCACCGGCGAGGCGAGACGAGCCAGCCTATTCCCCCCAAAAATTGCCATTATTAGCTTTCGCGAGCTTGCGCTTTGATTGTGGATAGTGAAGATTCAGTGCTATTCAATTCGTCTAGCGATAAACATGCGGCTAATGTCTTGTAAATTATTATTATTCAATATGTTAACGGAAGAAGAATCAGATGAAGTCCCACAATCTTGCGATAGATATGAATACCTATCACGAGCTCGCGCGAGATCGTGTGGGTAGTCGCAAGCTCCGTCGCGTTTCCGTTGCAGAGCATAATACTCTACGTAAGCAGCAATATGGTTCAAAATTACATCAAAAATTTATATTCTCGCCTCGTCCATTCTCGTCAATCCAGACCATGTCCAAAGAAGATGCGTTAAGAGAGAATTGAAATTTTGCCATATAAATTTCAATCTTCGTCTCGCCTAGCCGGTGAAAAGCCACCTTAATACATGGGATATATGGCTGTCGCTGGTATTGTACCCTACGCGGTCCGCGGATATGATACTCTATCATTGACCTATACATATGCATCGTGCTACAAGAGCTTGTTTATATAAATGACATCAAACAGAACAACGCAATAAACCGGTTCCAAAAAGTTGAAGCAATGTCAGATCAGCCGACTAACGGTTTGCTTGGTACGGACAAACCTCTTGAGTTGGATATTTTGAGCATGACTTAGCTACTATGCGTTGTTTTAAAATATTTTTTTAATGTTTTTTTTTTCAGAGTAGTGATCAAGCATAAATCCCTTTTTATATCTTACTAGCTGGTGCCCAAGACTTCGTTTGCGTAAATAAGTACTGCGATAATCCTACGGTACTACTTACTTGAGGAATGATTGTTCTTCATATAAACTTTCGTCCCCTATTTCACATACTTTGACATTTATTTTTGTGAAAAAAGTAGCCTATGTCCTTCTTATCTCATCTATCTCTATACCAAAATGCATCAAATTTGATTTTTTGGCGGTTTAGGCGTGAAAACGTAACAGATAATGATACTTTCACGTTCATAATATTAGTTTGGATTCTATTGGACAGTACAGCTTTGATGGCTATTGTCTTAAAAAACCGTAACTTTAGGCCATATTAACACATAATTACTCTTATTTTTGCATTAATGTCAACTATCTTTTTATTTGGGATTTACGCGTAGCCGCGCTTTCTAATAATAATTATTCTTATAATGATGAATTTAAAAAAGATTTTAAAAACCTAACACATAATAAAGTTCGAATTAAAAAGCTGACACCAGGCCTTAGAGGATGGAAAAAAGTAAACACGCCTGGTGTTAATTTTTTTCCATCCTCTAAGGCCTGGTACGACTTGTTCGTCCTGTCACTTGATATTACAAAAAAAAAGCTTTCACGAGGTTATTGTACTTATTAGATCAAATAACTAAATTAACGTTTGCCAAAAAAGCACCATATATTTTGGGTATTTATATTTACGCCTATATTGACGCTAGCCACGATACTCGAAAGAATTTTAAATATTTCTAAAATACGGACTGTTATCGTAGAATCGTATTCGTGATGTAACGAATAGTAAAATCACAGTGAAATCGCAAGAGCGTAAAACATCAGGATTAGAAAAAAGAACATAAAAAGTAAGGTAGGTAGGTAAGAAATAGATAAGTAACACTTGATCTCGTGTACACAATATAATGTCGAATTTTTAATTTTCTAACAACGCTTGCGTATATTGTAAAATTATAGAGGCTTATTATTTAAAATAGACTTTTAATACTATTGTAAGTTAAAATGGTATGGCAAGCTTAATTATGGGTCACGAAAATTTAAAATAAAATATTTTAAATTTGCGTGACAAATGTAAAAACTCCCATGTTTAAAAGTTCAAAAGCCCCCAGGTGCTTCACGATTCAGACGCAAATATCGTCAATATCTCAAACAAGTATTTGATTTTAGTTTACCCATCGAGTACATAACCAGAAATAGAGACGAAATAAAGGTCATCCATCCCCGGCAACTCATCACGTAAATAGGCCTTATATGACTTCTAAATATCAACTCTCGTTTGCGCTGAAATTACAAATTAAATAACTGAAATACAGTACAGCGCCAAAAACTGACCTGTGTGTACGTCAGGCTGTTCCTTTCGGTGGTGTAGGAAAAACAGCAGAACTTCTAATTACAAAACAAACGGAAGCACATTTCATCGGTAATTAAATATAAATTTGTAATTTTTAATTTTTTTTCCATTATAGCAAAGCTCAAGTTAAACTGGTCGATTTGAAGTGAAACAATTAACGACACCCGTCAAATGTTTCGAATTCGGGATGGCCAATCGGAGCGAAGTTGTCACCGTAATGATATGGCACAATAGTATCCAAACAAATTATATGACATTTCGTCTCTATTACTGGTTCTATACTTGATGATTTTACCATACATCGCATATGTATATTTATTAAGAGTGTAATCGTTAAGTGTGCCCAGGAGATTATTCCATAAACACGAGAGATATGAAAAAGCTTTAAACTGATATCGAAAGTACGTTACCTAATGAATAAATCGACATCAATATCTTTTTAAAAACAAAACTAGAAATATTCAATATTGAAACATTAAACGCTCCCATACATTTAATATGACTTTGGTAGAGAGGTTTTAGTATGACAAAACTGATACTAGTAATAAAACTATCTCTTAATTGAGTAAAAATATAATGGCATAGTCAATTATTCAGTCAAGTGTGAGTTGTCCATAAAAATGAATAAAATTTATCAAATTTTTTTTAGTGCTGATCGACTCAGTTTCATGTAAGTAAGGATCGTTTCATTGTATGTGACGAACAAAATCGGGACACCAGAAGTTGGTCATATTTAATCCAGTGTTTTTTACACAAAATGCAGATATCACAAAGTTAATGCATAAGCCAGCAAGCTCTAACGCAAAATCTATGCACTTTTGCCGCCGAATTATAACATATATTCAGCCAGTCATATTAAAATTAAGTTATTAATTGAAGAAAAATTTTCTCTAAAATTATTGTATAAGTTTCCAGGCACCACAATCGATTTAATATATATACCTACCTATGTACAGCATTTTAAAATGCAGTATGTATATAATACATACTGCATTTTATAGTATGTAACTTCGCATTACGCATAGCAAAACATACAAATTTTGTCAATCGCAACAGCTTTCTGCGGAAATAATATTATGTACATCATATTACACTGCAAATTTCTATCGAATAGTGTAAACTCATAGAATCTATTGTATCATCTCTAATGATTTTAAATTATAAAAGTACTGAATTAAACATAATATGCTTTTCAAGTCTAAAGTCATTGTTACCTCTATATTCCGTAACGCAACAGGATACACCACGCAAAAAATTTTTATTCAGTTGGAACCTTGGAACACCAACGAAATATGACATAAATGAGGCAGGTCAAAATAATTACCAGTAAGCAGTGATTCAATTGCGTCCTTATCAGTTCTCAGGCCTTGTAATATAGCCGCTTCATCTGCCAATTCTTGCTCCAAAGCCCAGAGTTCCGCTACACGCGCCCTGGCAGCTTCTGTCTCCAATGGTCTGCCAGCTGCTGCGCTTTCTAACCATCTAGAAAGAGTTACATTCCACCACGTCAATAAATCATTGCTAATGATAGCAATCATTTAGTGTTCTATCAATAAAAATTACAAACTTGATAAATATTTAACAGGTATATGGCTGTAAAGCCTCAATCTTTCCCGTATTTAGTACTAGAAAATTACGCCAAATATACGATAAGATCAAAGGACAGTATGCCAAAATCAAATCTATTTTGAAGTAGGCACAAGACCTATAGACATAATGTACCTTTGTTGTTCAAAAGCATGTTCGGCGAGTACTTTTTGCCTGAGCCGCTGGTTCCTTTCTAGACGCTCGACGGTGTTACCAGGTCTGTTGTACAACGAGCCCAGCTTCACCATGTTATCCACCAGCTGAACTAGCGGCTTACTCTTCTCGTACTGTTGTTCCAGATCCATCAGCTGCCCCTTCAACTGCTCAAGCCTTTGCAGACTTTCTTCGCGTTCCATAGCCTTTAGAGAACTCAAGCACTCCTGATAACAAAAATGTTCATTTATAAATGTGACACAAATTAATTATTGACTCCTGGATAACTTCGCCAGCTCGCATCGTCTTCACCTCTAAATACGCCTGTCTTCGCAGAGCTCACGTAAATATTTAAGTATATATTTTGTTCTCTGTTTTCAGAGGAGACCCCTGTCCAGCAGTGGGACGTATTGTTACAGTGCAGTATATTTTGTGGGAACTAAACGTGCAATGATTTTAAACATAGAAACAAATGGATGTTCCGCAATTCACAAATAAACCAATGGCCAACGAAAATAAAGCTAAAACAAAAAATAAGCACCTCTATGCTAGTGATTTGTAAGCAGCACTGTTCGATGGCACGATGGGTAGCCGCATGCCGTCTCCTCAATTGAATCAAGAGGAGCACCAGTTCTTCATGGGTCCGACCCAAAAGTTCTCCGGCTGTCGGCACCTCGGTCAATTCACCCTGACCATGCTGATCCCTCGGCTGATACAGCAAATACGAACGCAACACATAATGAAAATAAACATAATAAACCAAATAACAACACAATCAAAACGAAATCTAAGTAATGAACCAAAAACAGACAGACACTAGTGTAAGGAATATAAGACAACATAATCATACCAAATCGTCAGGTTCCGTGTTCCGTCGGACTCTCGGGCTCACAGCTCTGATAGGCTGTTGAGTCCTTGATGGAGACCTTGCAGTCATCCATGAATCCTCAGGCCCAATCAACTGCAAATTGGTTGCAACAAATGAGTAAATCTATATACAGATTCAAAAAATATACGTATGTATGATTATATAAGTACAAATAACTTACATTTTGCTGAGAAGTAGAGAGTTGTTGTGATATATTGTGTTCACCGATATGCTTATCTTCGGTCCATCGTACTCGAGGACTCACAGCGCGAACTGGTATATTCGCATCTCTGTTGTTTCTCCCGATAGAAGTGTTACTTCCTAGGAAAGATTTCTTTGACAATGGTTGTTGGTTCGATAGGTTATTTGTACTTAATTCTACGTTTGTTGATACACTCATCGACGCTGAAAAGAAAAATAGCAAATTACAAAAAGCTCATTGCCCAAAAGCAAGTTGAAAATATAATGTACATGTCAGAATTGAGAAATTGTATCATATCTTAAAGGTGATAAACATGATAAAGTGTAATAAGATGAATGTATTAGTTAGTACCAATACAGTGTATTTACAATTCACAATCCATGTTAAAATTGTGCATGCTGTGCACACCTTATCTTGTTTAAACTCTTCCTTTATTTATAAACAATACTTAGTGTTAACTCAACCTAACATTGCCTATGTACAATTTTATTGAAATTGTATTGATAATGACTTTGCTTTGCTGAATTATCATAATTGAAATGCAACTTACATAGTGTACCGGGACCATAGAATGTTAGAGGATACCTTCATTGCTTGCTCTGTCAGTTCCGTTGTCCGTGCTACACAGAGCATCGCCCGTGCTCGCGCCCAACCCCGCGCCCGCGCCCCGCACGCGACCCGCCCCACCCTTCATTAGACCACTGGACATTAGATCCCATTGCCGAAGCTTCTCTCTATCAATTTCAAATCTCTTCCTATTCTGACCTTGAAAAGCATACTTCTTACCCTTTCCACTCAGCATCGTCAACGAATTATTAGACGACTCAACAGCTAACTGCTCATAATCTCCTTCATCTGATTGTTCTAAAGACATTTCTGCATTTTCAGCAAGACTGACGTAAACGTCATTATCATCTACTTTTTCCTCCTCTTCGGGACAACTATTGTGTAGACTAGAGTTATCCCTTCGTCGCAATATTTGGTTTTGGAATTCGCAGTTGACATACGTAACGTTTCTACTTATTTTATTGCTGACATTTTTCTTTACACGCTTTATACTATTCATGCCGCATAAATCAGCGCTAATTCTTCCCGAAAGCGATGCTTCTGTAGGCACAGAATCTAAGTCGTCCATGGAACGAGCGTGCCTATGTGAAACACGCCGTAAGTTGTCTCTCCATAAAGCGTCTTCATCCCAGTGTTTCTCTCCTTGGCAGACGACATTTTCGTAAGCTCCTGCTTCGGCTTCAGCATCGTAATAAACAGTGTTTGAAGAGTTCTCGCTGCAATGAGATGACATGCTAGCATTTGATACTTTAATTGATGAACTGGTATTAAGGCCTTGAGCAATGTTAGATTCTGGAGAAGAATTTCCCACATTGCTGTTATTACTAGAGTTTCTTTTACAACCAAGACCTGAAATTAAGTTCATAGATTCAGGAATTTTGGAGAATTTTCCACCAGTAGACTCGTAAATGTTCTTTAAATCTATTTCTGGATCTTTATCAGCAGCACTTAAGAACTCTACCGAAACACTCCTTGCCGTGGCAGCCAGTTCAAATGTGCGATCAGACATCAGTACTTGATTGTTATGAATGGGATTGTGTATATGCGAAATTTCATTTTTCTTGTGAAGGGGCCCTCTACGTCTTTGGTTGTTCAATTTGCGGTGAAGGTTAGTGTTTTTCAAATAATGAGATGTAGGCAGCAAGTTAATGTGTTCTTGAGATGATAAATCTGAATAATAGTAAGGAGCGCTGTGCTCTGTCGAGCTTTCTCTGCTATGGAAGCCGGTGGTGGTAGACGAGGTATTTGTCTCTATTCCAGACTTAAGAGCTAACTTCTCGTTCTCAAACTCTTTGATTTTATCAGATAATACATCATTATTCAAGTTTTTACTTAACAGCATTTCCTCGTCGTAATTTTTGCAATAATAAGATATCGGCGCCTTCGGGATACCCACACAACTACAGGAATTCGGCAATTCTAATCTATATCCAGCTATCTCTTCACAAATATGTCTGTGTTGACTGCCGACCTCATGTCTGTGCGGAGGGCTGATAACTATCTTGTTGCTGTGACTAACGGGTGTACTGGAGCAGCGTGTATGTGACACAGTATGTAAATGAGCAGCTTGCAGCATGTTATCTTTGTAAATAGATACATCAAGTGCTGATGTGTTTAAATGATTATTTCTATGGCTGCTACTAGTGCTAGGTTGTAAATTATCCAAATATCGATCTAAATCTACGTTAGGAGTGATTTCACTCTGCGCCGGTGCTTCCGAAGCCGCTAACTCAAATATGGAATCATCGGAAAGTGGCCGTCTTTTTATCATCATTTCCACTTCCCTTAGTCCACTGGGGTATCTCAAGTCAATGGCTGCTTCACTTTCGTTTAAACTTGTTACTTCTGAAGATAAGTTGGACGGTGCCATTTCAAATTTACTGCTGACGTCTGATTCTAATGATAAACGAGATGAACCTCTATCAGCATTATAACTTCGAAGTGAATCTGTTTCTATGCTACTAGAATTATAATGCTCTAAAATAGAATTACTTAGTAAATTGGACGTTGATGTCTCACTAAGCTTTCGTTCGCTCGTCAAGCTTGCTCTACTGTTACGAATTTTTTCGCCGCGTGATAGAGTATCGTGGATTGAAGTACGACTTCCATAAATCATTAATGACGTGGTTTTCCTTTTAACGGTGTTCATTTTTTGATTTTCACTAGTCAACAATTTCAATATAGAATTATCTTGAGATAAGTCTGATTTATCTAATTTTTCTAAAATGTACTTTGAAAGTGCGTCATCTGATAATTCATCGCTGGGAGGTGGTAAATTGGGTATTGAAGAAGGCGGCAGATTTTCACTATCAGAACTGTCATGAATGTCGGAAATTCTGCTACTGCCCAAATAATAAGACGCTGGTCTGAATGTGTCGGATATACTGAAACGGCTAAAAGGAATGTCTAGTGACATATCTTTGGAACCTTCGTCATCGGCATCGGAACAATCTGACTTCTCTTTAGCGACTTTATCACTTTTGGAAGCTCTTTTCAAGGTGTGATCTTTGGTATCAGCAAAGTTTGAAGCCGTATCCAGCAAAAACTTACTTTTAGATGCTGATTCCTCTGAACCACCTTCATCTATTAAATTATTTAGTTCCATGTAAACTGGCTCCACTTTGCCGTTATTGACACAAACAATTTCATATGTCTGCATATCTTCTTCTTCGTTACCAATGTTCATTTCGACATAAGGATTATCTTCATATCCCATCGGCAAGGTATTATCAAAAACACTTAAGTTTTGTAGTATCGTCATATGCGCGGGTTCAATTGTAGACGATTTTCGAGGACTCATTGGTAAATAGTGATCTTCACCTGGTGATCGTACTGGAGGAGTTTCAGGTTTGTTATCAATTTCTAAAGCAGATGCAAACACTTCCTCTTTCTGTTCAGATTCCAATGTTATTATTTCGCTGTCATTTTGAATTTCAGGATCCGATTCCATTAATACTTCGTCTAAATCGTTATCCGTATACTCGATTTGCGTCTCCGACTCCGCTTCACTTTCGTGAGTCTCGTATCCATCATTTTCAATATCAGTCTTTGCATTTTCTAAAACATCCAACTCTTCTTTCTGGAGGGGCATTTTTTCATTATTATTATCGTTCTGTTTACAATTGAGCGTTGAAATATTTACCGCACAAAGCATGTTTTCGTAAGTGTTTTCTGCTGCATTATTTACATCAGCGTCTGTCTCTTTTATAATGCCAGAATTATCTGGCTGAGTGGCAACGGGCGCGTGCGGGGCTATAGGTCGCATAACACTAGGACTTGTTAGATTCAGTTTATGGGACCTTCCTGCCTGCATATCTCTCGGTTTTTGCAGTTCAGTGCCCGGTGCTTCCTCTGAGGTGCAAAAGTGAAACCGATCATGTATTATACTATTAATTTCCAGTAACAAATGAATACATAAGTTTCGTATTTTTATCGTAATGTTCAACATGTTAGTATAATATAAATTGGTACTTGACTCCAAATGTTAGATAATGATGCAATCTACAGTTAAAACACGAGTACGAACAAATATCTGTCGCCCACCACCAATGCTGAACCAGTATGACATTTTGTTAGTGGTAGAATGTCCCCGCAGGCAGGAAGGTACCTTTCCGCAAAGCGAAGTCATCGTAATGCTACTAAGAATGTCCAATGAATAAAATAATTATAGAAATACATATAAGTATACAAGTAATAATATTATTTTTGTTAAGTCATACCTCAATATTTTAAACAATATAAAGAATTTAGAAATAGCTCTATTAATAGTACTAATGACACCGAAACGAATAATTAATAAGGGAGCTAACCAAATTAAATGTTGCGTTGACATTGGAGAATACAATAAATATAAATTTCATATACTGAATGAAGAACGCGTTAATTCAGAATAAACGATTACTTTACTAAACTACGTTTAATCTACGGTACATTATCTTTTTAACTAATGATATACGTCTTTCTAATCTACGTAATAAATTTAAACAATAATTGTAGTACAATCAATCATCACTGCATCACAACCTCTGTCATGCAACATATGAATAACACAGTTGGCGGTTAAATGCATGCTAATTTCTCTGTGAACAGCCCCAAAATATATCAGGTATATCTCACATGCTACTGATACCTAGAATCATTTTCTTGTTAATTACGTACCTTCGTCGTCAGAAGAGTAACTGTTGTAGGAAGCATTAGTGTACGTCTTGTGTTTGTACTGATCAGATCTCAAAGATTGCCGGTTCTGGTTCAAAGATCGAGCCAGTGAAATCGCGGCCGGTGTACTTTTGCGAGTAAGCGGTGATTGTAACATTCTTTGCTTCCACTCTAACAACCTTTTCATCGATTCCTCACGCTGAATTAAATGTAAAAGCAATTTTAATTATCAATAACCGTAATTGTATTATATATTACTAAATAGTAAGTTTGGTAAATAATTAGCGTACCTGTTGTACTTTCTTCTCTCCTTGGCCTTCTGTGGCAGATGATGGCAATCTCGCACTAGCTGATCTCATAAATTCGTTCGCGTCGCATCGACTTATTTCCTTCGTAACGCCACTAAAGGTAGATCCGTCACTCATTACACTTCCACTCCTTTTCAAATAATCCTTTTGGCTCTCCCTACCTTTCTCCTTAAGCGTCCAGTTTGAGTTCAACCCTTCAAGATCACTGTACTTCGAATTGTAACTGACGTCGTGTCGGCTAGTTTTATTCACCCCGAATTCTGTCTCGTAATTATTGTTGGTAATTTGAGAGTAAGGTGAATTCAACTGCTTTTCAGCTAAGCCGCTCGCATACTTAGCTAATGGTATCTGAATATTGCGAGGACCCAAACCTTGCTGTTGTAAATACTGTGCAGATTGTCGCATTTTTTCCGCATAACTTTCTTCGGAATAATATCTGTCGGAACTAGGATCGTAGTATGAGTTAATATCGAGACTGGATTTAGGACGCTGCGGCTGTCTAGGCGGATCACACACGTTACGAGAGGGCATCGTGTTGTTAAGCATCTCATTCCTTGATTCATGTTCCAAGAAGTCTGCACTGTGGGGTCTAGGCATTGGAGATTGAATTCCGCTAGACTGCATCTTTTTCCTTCTCAATACTGATGGCCCACTGAATGTTTTTTCTTGAGGCTGCAACAAAAATATTCACTTAAGCTACCTATTTTTTTAAATTGATCCTTAGGTTTTTTTTTATATTGTAATTGTAATAAACAACTAATGTAAAAACTCACATAGTTCGCGGCATAATCTTGCAACTGCTGGTGGTTAACGCTACCGTCCCGAGATTGCGGTGTTTTAGGTAATAATTTTCCATGTGTTTTGCCATATTCGTTCTCAGCAGCGTAAGAGGCATACACATCCTCGTAATCTCCAACTTTCTGAGTATTGTATAGACCCATCGTCACAGATCTACCATACGCATCCGGTGTTCGCCTCTCTATAAGCAGGCGCTCGTTGATTGTATTCCCAATTCTGTTGGCAGGTCTCAAATTCAGTTCCCCGTAGACATCCCTATTATAAGCGTTTTGTTCAATGTTTGATTTTGCATTTTGACGTGAATCAGAATAAGAATCATAAAGCGACTTCCTGTCGTGCTCCACTGTTGTCTGAGAATTGTTCTGTAAATCGGCATCTTTCGGAGTCGTCTCGGTTTGTGGCGATACGTCCTGAAGAAATGGATTCCGGGACTGCGAATGCCTTTCATATATTTGCTCCTGTTTATTTTCAGGCTGTAGTTGCGGTTGTTGCTGACTTCTGTTCCTATTGTCAAAGTAAGGCGACTGAGGATTAGACCTATAAATGGACGATGTGCTCGGTTGGATGTTCTCAAGTCTGTCAGTAACGGTGTTGGTTAGTGGCAGAGACAGGTGGTGCGTGTCATAAGGGCGTTTGGACTGGTACATAGCCGCGGGAGCAGGCGACTGGTGCGGCGGGAGAGGCGAATGCGGGCTGCGACTATATGTGCTCTCTTGAGTGGGGCTGGTAGTGTAGTTAGTATGCTCCTGGTAACGAGTATGACTAGTGCCTTGACTGTAGTGTGATGCTGGCTTTTTGAGTAAATCGTAGTTTGGATCATACCTGTAATGTTGTCAAGTTGTGTAAACGAAAAAAATACTTTTATAACATGACTTGTATCAAATCCCTGGTATGAACATAACAAATGAAGTCTTACATATCAGGACTGGGTGAATTGTATCCTTCATTAGAACGCCTCGGCTTAGGTGGTGCGTTTGCATAAGTCGGGCCAGGTATTTCGTCTTCATCCTACAGTAAAAAAATCAATATAAAATTTATTGTAACATGCAAAATCAATCCATACCCCGTTTCATGCAGTCCAATTAATACGTGCACCGCGCGCTCGGTTGCCAGTATCGATTTACTACTGCTTCGGACCTATTACCCTTAGTTATGTCGGCGGAATAATCACAGTCCTTAGTTCCGCTCTGGCGCAAAGTAATTACTGATCAGTTACAATCGGTACCGGTACACGTCACCCGACGTCGATGCCCGGCAGTTCTTGATATACACATAATAATACTCACCTCTGTTTTTGCAGCTGCCCGCTCGCTCTGCTTTTGTGGCTGCTCACTGAAAATAGAAACAGAGCCAAAATAACCTGATGAACTCAATGAACACGGCCGACATAACGGCCTTGGCGGCAAAATCCACACTGCGCTTTAAATAAATATTACTTCAATTGTATTCGATGACGGCTTCAAAGTTAATAAGAAATTATTTAAGAGCAACTAGTGATAGGATCGCGGAGATAAACTTACATCGGGCTTTGCATCAGAGCGGCCATGGTCAGAGCCTTCACCCACTTCAACATAGCCTCCTGGTCCGGAGCCGCCAACACGTACGTCCGCATATTTGCGTGTTCCAATTTGAACGCAAACTTCCGCAATACTTTGTCTTCAGATGTGCAAGCTGATACTTTGTAAGATGGTAGAAGTACCGATCCCAGCAATTTTTCTTCTTCTTGACCTGTCAAAGATTAACTATGTGTTTGAAGAAGAAAAAAATTGAAATAATTTTTGCGGTAATAAGTACTTACCCTTGTAGTAAAATAAGCAGTACTCGGACAGAACGAACCATCTCTTCCTCCAAACTTTCAATCCATCGGATCCTTGCTTGTACAATATGCCTGACATGGTGACAGGTGCTGATGGAATACGCTGAGCTACCGGTGAGCGCAATGCCTGATTTCCGCCGCTGCTCCGGCGACTGTCGGATGAAGGAGACTTTACACTAGGGGAGCTTGAGTCAGATTTCATAGGTGACACCACAACCACGTTGTTCTTCTGGCTTTGATTATTGTAATCTGAAGGTGGAGATGCACTCTTGCACGAGTCTCCCTCGGGCTGCTTCCTGTACAAATCCGCCGATTCAGTCCGATTTGATTGCCATTGAGAGTCCTGGTACTGCCTAGTTTGCTTTTCAATTTCTTTGTATTCATTATTTTTAGCGTACCTATCGACATCTTTCTGTATATCCGGACTGCTGTATTCTTTAAAATCATTTTTGCTGCTATAACGATCTAAGTCCCTGTAGGAACCATCAGAGTAAATGCTATTCTGCAGGTTGGGGGGCGGCTGGATTCCGTGAATTTGTTGAAGTAACAATTGTCTTTCAGCGAACTTTTGTTGCTGGTGCATTTGAGCCTGATTTTGGTAGTGCATTTGTTGTTGTAATTTCATTTGTTGAATTTCGTTATACTGTCGCCTCAAGAGTTCAGTGTTACTCTGAGGTCCCAGTCTGTTCGAAAATGGAAGGTACGGCTTGGAGCCATATTGATTCATGTTAGGCCTATACATAGTTTGATGATTTTGGTATATTTGATTGGTATCTTTCGGTGGGTTGCGTTTCATGTAGTCCTGATAAACTTCAGCGTTATATCCTTTAGGCACATTGTGAAGTTCGTGATTGACGTTGTGATCCATGTTCAAGTCTGACCTTTCCAGTCTCGGTGGTGATTGTGGGTAATTATAATTATCGTTAGCGCCGTAGTGTCGGGCGTAGTCGTGATTATGTGCAGTTCCGTACAGTTCGTGCCTGTTTTCGAGGAGCGGCGAGCGAGGATTCATGTTGGAGTGGTATTGGTTCTGCAGCAGCTGATGCATTACGCCGTTAGGCTGCACCTGCCCGGCTTGTGTGGGCACATGATGTGATGGGATGGTGGGCTGCTGCGAGTATATCTGATCGGGATGGACATGATGAGCCATCAGGTGTTGTTGAGTGAGTGGCTGTTGAGTCGCCGGCGTTGTCTTCTTGTTCTCCATTTGGAATTGGGACTGCGGTATTGGCGGGTCAAGCCTGCAACAAAAAAATTGCAATTTAACCTCAAATGGGTTCCCATAAATGCAACCGTAAGATATAGAAATAAATTTTGATTAATTATGTAATATAACATTGTAAAGTCGTGTTTAGGTTATATTCAAAATTAAATGCAGAAGTAGGTATTCGTTGTTCAAGACCAAGTAGTATCGCAACAATTCAATTTGAGTTGGTTAATCGAAAGGACGTTATCGTCACCAGTTGATAAGGTAAGTGCGCATAGAATCGAAGGAGGCACATTGCCTATTATCACGTCACGCTCGCTGGCTTTATCGGCAAAAACGTTGTCCCTTTAATTTTTTTTTGTTGTTGTTGACCAGTGGCGGATTTGCCCTAAGGCCCAGTAGGCCCGGGCCTAGGACGGCCAGTTTTTAGGGTTCTAAAATCACGCTTCGTTGCCATTTCCCACGCCCGCCGCCACCAATGCAGTAGCCGACTTTTCCCCCACACATGACCTCGGACAGTAGCGTGAAATTCCTGTTAAACTATCTATTCGTTACGTCACACGCTGAGAGGGAGAGTTCATAAAGTGTGGCAATGTCACTAAAGGTGGTGGGGTCCATTTTGTCAAGTCACATCACAGTGGAAGGGCAAGTAAACAGTTGTTATCGTAATTGAAAACAGAATTATAGTTATTATGGCTGACAGCCACAATAAGGTATGGTAATAAAGTTTGTATTAATAATTATAACTATTTATACCAAACGAGTGGAGTAATTTCACATAAATAACTGTAAAACATAGTGATATTCAATAAAACTGAATATTACAACAGAATTATAGTTTTATTCTTAATGAAAAACACGGTAAAAATAGCTGATTCTACACCTTTACAAAAATAGGGTTATGTGCTGTCACTTTTTGTAAGCGACACATACATATCATCGTCTAGAAACATACTACCTAATACCTACTTACCAAACCCTTATTCTTATGGTACATTGCCTCATTGGCCGATATTTTTCTCTTGGGTCCACTCAACTATAACACTTATCACGAGGCTATTTATAGTTCGGTCTCAAGAAATTGCGCAACGAAAGAACTTCCTCCAAAAACTGTGCAATTCAACTACGACACGGCTATTATAAATTAAATGCGGCCCCATAAAGATTAGATTATAAAATTAAGTAATTATTGAATCTAGTACACAATCGATGGCACCGACCTAATTTAATAATCAATTTATTAGTGACTGAAATGTTCAAAATATCTTAAGGCGGCTTCCTATCAAAGAAAAGCGTTTCTTGAAACGCGCCGTGGGAAGAGGGCGCCCGAGCGCGCCCGTGGTAGCACGCGGCGGCCTGTGCTTTCAATACAAATCCGAATACAAACGCATCGGCCCGAGAGCGCCTGGACTCGCCTGAGGCCGCCCCGGGATTCGCCCGAGGCAGCCAAACTCGCCCGTTTCGCGAGCTCGCCCATACAAATCGACGCTTTTGACATTCCGGGCCGTGGGAACGCACCACTATGACGATGTTATTACAGAAATAATTCCAAGTATTAATATTATAAATACGTCTGTTACGTTTACACGGCTGAACCACTGAACCAATCTTGATGAATTTTGGTATATAGATGGGACCTAGGAGAAGGACATAGGCTACCTACTGTGTCGGGGCGATGTCAAAACGTAAAGGGCTCAAAACTGACAAATTTTGATGTAAGACTTTTGTACCTCATTCTTTTTCCCTTTTTTAAATTTTCACAGAACTATCAGTTCTACGTGGCGGGAAAAAACTACTGTATACAAATATTCGTAAAGTTTTTAAAATTGTTATGTAAGATTATATATTTTAAAAAATCTTGTCTCTTGATATTTATCGTAGTCGGCTTCATACACACTACCTGATATGCACCCTGTTAAGCAAGTAAATAATATAATTGTTCTTAGATGCCGATCTCCAGTAGGAGGTGGAGATGGCTCCGGAAGAACTAAATATACCTACAAAAAATGCGTAGAATACTGACAAAAATTTCGATGTTATACCAAGTAGTATAAAACAAGGTTGATCATGGAAAACATCGTAAAATTATAATAGATGCAGAAAAAAATTTTACTGATATTAAAATACCTTTCGCAGGTTTTGTTTTTCATTTAAGCACGCTGCTCGAGAAACATTCGCCTCATAATGGATACACAAGCAATTTAAAACAAATATAGTTACTGAACTTAACCTATTATCAGTCTTTAAAAAAGCAACTATACCATGCTGTATATTTAACGAAAACGGATGCATTATAACTAGTGATCGGAATTGATGAATGAACTCCATTTAATGTAATGAACGTTTTCTTAGTATGGACATACTCATGTCGTCATTGATGCGTAAGTATATAACTTCTTTTTTACTATTTATTTTCTAAACATTACAAAATACAGGGCCGTCTTATGTTTATTTTTAAAATAAAACAATATTCCGTTTCATTTTTTAAAGCCTATAGAAACACAACTACAATATTATTTTTGAGACATTAATTTGTAGCCACTATGTATTTATAATAGGAAATAATAATTTGTCGCGATTTACTCAAATTTCAATAAATAATACACATATTGAAATATAATCAGTTCCAGATATTACCGAAATTTGTTGAAGAGAATGTCCACATTATTCTTCAGTTTCGCTAAATTAACTCCCTCAATACATCTGTATTTTTGAGACATTAATTTGTAGCAAATACTTAATAGGAAATAATAATTTGTCGCGATGTACTCAAATTTCAATAAATAATACGCATATTGAAATATAATCAGTTCCGGGTATTCCCGGGATTTGTAGAAGAGAATGTCCACATTATTCTTTAATTTAGTTAAATTAACTCCCTCTATTCCGATCACTGATCATAGCATTAAGAATAATCACACAGCAAAATACATCATTATTTTATACAATATTACCGTGTTGGGACGACACGTAAATAAATAAAGTAATTAAATAAATTGTTACCCAGAGTGAACTTTGGTAGAACCAATAGAAAACCTTCGTACAACTGGTTCTTACCGAAAACTGCTCTATAAGTGTTTGAAACTAACCACAAACTGCTTTTCAAAAAACTATTTCGGTTGGTGTCTGAGTTCATTTGGTTAAAATACCAGGTGTATTTCTTTTTATAATACCAAGTGATGGGACGGACAAGTCGTTTGCCTAATGGTAAGCGACACGCGTATCCATAGCAGTTGCAGTGCCACTCAGAGCTTTCAATCGCAAAGATCTTTGGGGCACTGCCACTGCGCCCGTCACCCTGAGACATAAGTTGTCAAGTCCCATGTGGCTGTAATTTCACCAGCACCCTTCAAAACCGGAACGCAGTAAGTCACGTTACTGCTTAGCGGCAGAAATTGGTAGGGTAGCAGTACTTCCCTGGGCGAACTCTTTCACAAGGAGCTCTAATGCTACTAAAATATTATGCATCGAGCTTTAAAAAGACTATCGGCCATAGTCGGCTACCTTCGGAAATCTAGAGCGCCGTTTCAGTTGCACAACAAATTAGCGACAAAAAGTCACACTACTGGTATGAATGACAGAGGCGACGCAGTACAAAGCCGAAATCAGCCGATCGTCTTCCGTCTTGTTCTACAGCTCTATACTAAACTATACTACACATAAGGGTCGTTTTCAGATAACCTCCAAAAATGTGTCTCTTTCAAAAACTTTCACGTTATTACATGAATGCTAAGCATTATTTATTTAACATGTTTGCTTGCTTACTTCGTCTGTGTTACACATAAAGAGACTACTACGTCACAGTAATAAACAAAAATTAAAAAAGTGGGCAATTTCTCATTCATGGGAGCCGGTTCCACGTCACCTTTTAAGAAAAGAAGAAAAAAAATTAAACACTCGAGGAAATCGCAATATTTCCCGTCGAGGATAAACTCTAATAACTTACATGTCGAATACATACCGTAACTTTCCAATTTATTATAAACAAACATGTTTTCTTGGGAATACAAAATGTGTTTCAATTTTTCTTGTCATTAGCGTCAATTCAACTAAAAGCCTCCTAATAACAAAGGTTCATACCGCATCACCTTCGCCCTTCGCACACGTGAGAGAAGAGGCTCCTTTCGGATTGGAGTGTATACAGTGAAGTAACCTGTGTATCTCCGTTTTAGCAAAAAATCGACTTAAATACCAATTTCAGCGCTAGTGACTAAATCATTATCATTAATGTAAAGCAATCTATCTAAGTAAGTAATAAGTAATAGTTTTATAAACTTTATTGTACATCAATCAGACAAAGGGATCTTTAAAATCCATGCCTTTTAATAACGGTCCTGCATATTTTGCAACCTTGACAATTAAAAATGTATCCAAACATCATTATTGCCGCTCTCATTCTTGTTTACTTTTAAGTCAAATAGTATACTTTAAGCCAAACATTTACTTGAAATATAACAATTAGATGGTGATAATGGTGGTGATGACGGTGGTGACGATAATGATGGTGGTGATGATGACGATGATGATTGCAGTGATGATGATGTGAATGGTAACGATACTGATGATAATGGTGATCATGATAATGATGTTGATAGTGGTGATGATGATATATTGATGTACAACAAAGTTTATATGACATTAACAAAATATTTATTTACATTTATTTAATAATAACATATAGATAGATAGATGGTCTTACACGGATGAGAAGGATTTTGGTACAAGAAGTTATATAAAAATATTTGTTAAATACATGTTAAATGTTGTTAAATGTTTTTTTGTGAACGATAAAATGTGTATTTTATCGTTCACAAAAGAAAATTTAACAATATTGTAATAATCATTTCTCATTACTGTGCCGTCTTTCTCATTTATCTTTATGAGAAAATCATTCGTGTTACTACAATCTCATTCGTGTGCCCGAATAAAATATCGTTCTTTGTTGTATTTAACTTAAATATTTCTGTGATTTTATAATTATTGACATTGCTTGAACTTGTTTGTACGTTTAAGACCTTAAAACCAAAAGAAAAA